CTCTCACTCTCTCACTCTCTCACTCTCTCACTCTCTCACTCTCTCACTCTCTCACTCTCTCACTCTCTCACTCTCTCACTCTCTCACTCTCTCACCTCCTCACCTCCTCACTCCTTCATCAAATTATTTATCAGAATTTATCAAAATTTATCAGCTTTTGAGTTTAAAGTGAGTACTGGAGTGGCAGCGGCTTTGAAGTGACAGCAGAACTTGAGGTGAGTACTAGAGTGGCGCCCAGGATTTGAGGTGAGAGCAGAGTTTAAAGTGAGTATTAGAGTGGCGCTCATAGGCTGCTCAAAAATCCCTGGCACCCGCGGGGCCCCCAGAAATGGGGCCCCCGTTGGGGCCTTTATCGCGGGGCACCCAAAGCGGGGTGGGGGGTTTTGAGGCTCCCCCGGAGCCCCCAACCCGCGGGGGCAACGAGGCCCTCGTTTAAAAATAAAGCCCCATTTGGGGCTCGCGGGGCATTCGAAGCGGGGTAGAGAGTTTTGAGGCTCCACCAAAGCCCCCAACCCGCAGGGGCAACGGGGCCCTCGTTTAAAATAAGGCCCTATTTGGGGCCACCCATTGGGGGATTTATCGCGGGGCACCCAAAACGGGGTAAGGGATTTTGAGGCTCCCCCGGAGCCCCCAACTCGCGGGGGCAACGAGGCCCTTGTCTAAAAATTGTCACAGTGCTGGTTTCAGTCCTATCACGTGACAACTCACCGCCTGGCAGAATCCTGTATATAAGCACTCCTGAGAGCTGTCCTCAGCTCTTCACCTTAGTATTCTAAGAATGGATCACCTCTTACATCTCAATCTGATCTGGTCTGTCACAAAAATAAAGTATAATCACGAGTAGTAAAATGGCGCCCAGGATTTGAAGTAAAAGCAGAGTTTGAAGAAAATACTAGAGTAGCGCTTAAAGATTTTTAATTAACATGCTTTGACTTGTGATTAAAATCATAATTTATAATTTTAATTTTTAAACTCGTGGTTAACGCCCTATTTTGGCGCGTGCTTCTAGTTTATATATATTAATAAATATTAAGCTTCGAAGCTTTAATTAACAAATAGCATAAGTTAATGCTGAGTAGCAGCTAATTTGATGTAAGTGGCTGCCGGCATCATGGCTTGTTAATAATAGTTGGGCGTTGGACTTGGACGGGCGTCTATCTCTCCGGTTTTAGTCGAGAAGCGGGCGGGCGGGCGGCCGCATGCTTGCAATGATCATCAATCTCGAACTACAGCCTCAAAGGTTGAAGCTTCCTTCGTCGCTCCAGCTGGCCTTATCATCCATCACCTTTCTTGCGCTCTTGTGCGGATAACTGCACCGCCGTGCTCCTCCTCGGTGCTCCAATGTTACGATGGGGGCATTGCTAGCTTTCCTCTTCATCTACGTCCTGGGTGGCTTGACGTTCATTCCACTGCTCATTGCTGCCATTCTTGTGCATGCTTACCTCACCTTTCCAATCCTCAACAACACGACCGACCGAGACGACAGAGCCGAGTCGATTGTACAACCTGGAGACGATGTCGATGCTATCAAGCGTGCACAGCAGACGCTGGGGGAGAAACATCAGCCACGAGATGGCCACGAGTCCGAGGTGTTCGCGGGTTGGTTCGCGGTGAGCAGAGAATACACAGAGAGGGGCTTGAACGGCAAACCACCCGAGAGAGTCACACCCCTAGGCTCTACGACCGTCTCTGCGCCGAGCCCCAGTGTGTACCAGAGCATGTATAGAAGCATCTTCGAGAGAAAACCATCCAATAGCCCAATCGAGAACAAAGGGAATGGCAAGCCACCAAAGAGAGGTAACAATGTCTTCTATGTCGTTCTGAGGTAAGTTGCAGAGTTACGATCGATATCAATCAAATGCTGAAAGTCTGCAGACATGGGCACCTTATGCTCTTTGACGATGACGAGCAGATCGAAGTCCGGCATGTGGTTAGCTTGGCCCATCACAAGGTCGCAATATATTCGGGCGGAGACGAGACACCAGAGGGAGAGCTTTTCATCAAGCGGAATTCGCTTTGCCTGTCGAGAAGGACGGATGCGGGAGAAATGGCTCCAGACGGAAAGGCATCGAAGCCGTTCTTCCTCTTCTCCGAGAACTGCTCAGAGAAAGAAGATTTCTATTTTGCCCTGTTACGAAACCAGGAAAGAAAGGCGGAAGCGGCATACAATCCTCCAATCCCACTACACTACGACGTGAAGGACATTATAACCTTGGTCCAAAAGCTACACTCGTCCGAGGAGCATCTGCAAACGAGGTGGATGAATGCAGTCATAGGCAGAATATTCTTGGCACTTTACAAGACATCCGAGGTCGAGAATTTGATCAGAGCAAAGATCACCAAGAAGATCTCGAGAGTCAAAGTGCCTTCTTTCCTCTCCAAGATCTCATTGAGGAATGTAGACATGGGAGAAGCCGCTCCAGTCATCACCAATCCTCGTCTGAAGGACTTGACAGTGGACGGGGAGCTAGTTGTGGAAGCCGATATTCGATACTCTGGAAACTTCCGACTCGAAGTTGCAACCACAGCCCGTATAGAGCTCGGCTCACGTTTCAAGGCGAGAGAAGTTAATCTTCTTTTGGCCGTTGTTGTGAAGAGGGTCGAAGGTCATGTCATGATTCGCATCAAGCCACCACCTTCGAATCGGATCTGGTTCACCTTTTCGAGTATGCCAAAGATTGACATGACCATAGAACCAATCATCAGTGCTCGACAGATCACTTATACTCTGATCTTACGGCAGATCGAGAATCGCATCAAGGAGGTTGTGGCGGAAAGTCTCGTGGTCCCAAATTGGGATGATGCTCCTTTCTACAATACGGAGCATAAGACATGGAGAGGGGGCACTTGGGCAGATCAGGGTACCATGCCAGTGCCTTTGGAACCCGAAAATGTGGTAGCGCAGGGTGGCGGCGTCGATGAAGTAGAGCATCTCGAAGCAGAGAACGAAGAGGCAACCATGGGTCTACCCCCGGTTGAGAGGAGTATTACCGCACCCCTGATCGATGCAACTCCTCCACCCAGGACGGCTTATGCTCGCAAAGTCGCTAAATCCTCGATCAATCTGATCGGCTCCCCAGGGTCATCTACACCTATTGTCAGCACTGATATCACCAATGCGGATGCCTTCAAAAGCTCTACACCGCCCGAGCACAGTCATGCAATGGCCGCCATCTCAGCGCTGTCCCAGACTGCTTCCCCTACCTCAACTCCTGTCGGCTCGCCCTCTGTACCTTCGAGAATGGATAAACCAGGCAGCCAATCCTCGATATCGTCGAGAGAGTCGGCGACGTCGGAAACAGAAAAGGATACCCAGGAGGAATTGCCTCCCCAACCGTCACTCAATCATTCTCTCGGACGTGACCCCAGGCGAGAGAACTCATCATCGTCATCTGGGAAGTCGGTTGCTTCCGAAAACAAGCGCTTGTCTTTGGCCGCCGTCAGCAATGCAGCTGCAACCGCCAAAAAATGGGGTTGGAATGCACTCCAACGGCATGGCGAACGAAAATCCGGTGGAACGACCGAAGAAGAAGAAGTCCCATCACGGCCTCTTGTGATGGGACGTGGGCAACCACTTCCCCCTCCCGGTGTGCCGCTCCCGCGGCCTTCCAAGGCAACCAAAACCGCTCCTATCGCTGTTCCCAAGCGAAAGCCAATACCTCCCCCTCCCCCCTCCTTTCCATTCAAGCCCCCGGGTCCGAGTGAGGCCCCCGATTCAACAGCTCCGTCTTCTCAGCCAGTTCCACCACCCCTGCCCAAGCGCCGAAGCCGAGAAGCCGAGAAAGTGTTGGAGGATGCTCAAGATGACGGTCTCCTCGTCGTGGCAGCACCTTCCGGCGACTGGGAACCTCGTACGCCGATGAGTGAACACACACCCAGCTACCTCCCACCGTGGGTGGATGACGGTGACGAGAACGCCGAGGATTTTGATCCTACCACAAGTCAGACGACGACCGCTTCCGAGCCCGAACCAGAGCCCGAACCAGAGCCAGAGCCAGAACCAGAACCACCGAAAGTCCCTCCTCGTCTCCCCAAAAGACGACCACCTCACCGGGTCATGGTCATGTCTACCAGTCCTGAGGAAGACAGCCACCAGTTACCTTCAGTAAGCAACGTCTGATGAGAAATGCCCTCGTCGCCTGCCTGCCCTCGCTTTGTCAATGCAACAACCGAGCAACAGCTAACGAGGATTACTCACTAGTGGATGGCTGCTCAAGAGGAGGAAGCACGAGCGAAGAGCGCTTTCGTCGACGAAGATGGCGGGACATGATTTTATTGAAGAGCGAGCGAGAGAGAGCAGGCGTCGGCTGCCTCCAAGCTTCTTATTACGGATGGTGTCTGTCACGGCGTCGAGTGACCCCAGCACTCCTCGAAAAATCGAGAATTCAACTTCCGCATGATTTTCAGGATGGTGAGCAGGCGTCGGCGGCAGCGGCGTATGGGCATAATGGAATGGAATGGCATGGAGGCAAGGCATGGGGCACGGCCGATTTGGATGCAGGGAGGGAGGGAGCCCGCATATTGGGTTCGGCTGTGATCATGTGGAAGGAGCATATCGGTTCCCCCGTGCGGTTCGCGTCACCCCGTTGCTCTCCAACATTTTTTGACAACACCATTCCACGACAACGGTCTGCGCACGAACAAGCAAGCCATGACGACACAGCTTTCAGTGGACCAAATCTTCCGTCTCACCCAACGTGAACTCGTCCAGTTTGTGCAGCCGAATATCACTCACGGAGACGGCACATGGAACATCTCGAACATCGTAGACTGGGAGGATGTGTCGCAAGCCAAGAGGGGCCTGCTTGCCGCAAAGCTGCTGTGAGTTGATAAGATTTGCCATTTGCGATGCCAATACTGCCACAACTAACTAAAACTCAATCAGGCCGGCCGTACAGAAAACCATAGACCCCTCAGTTGATGCCGCCGACCTCGCTGCACTGTTGGCCCAAATATCCTCCGACAGAGGCTCGCCAATACAGCAGACCCAGTATCCAAGCCCCTCCAGATCATCGACTGTCGAACCTCCCGAGAACGCCATGCAAGAGTACGAGACCAAGTGCAACCAAGCTCTACTCGATGACGGTTGCAGGCCGCTGTTCCCCATCAACCTTCTCCTACAAGTCTTGACGAATACAGATGCATACCACGACTTACTACGGCCGTGGGCGAGATATCCGGGTACGTCGAATCCAGAGGACTGGCAGGTGTTCTCCAGGCAGCTGCGCCGCTGGGAAGAATTTCGCAAATGGCAGCTGGGCAATAGGCGGCAGACGGTCGGGTTCTCCGAATATCTCGAGGAACAACAGCGCGAGTTTGAGAGGATGGGGGTGGCCGCCGGGTGGACAGCCAGGCCTGATTTTGAGCAGGCAATACGCAGTCAGTGGGAGGACGAATATGGCCATGGTCAATAGCAGCCCGGCAACGGTGACGACGCGGCAGCTGTCTTGTCCAGGTATGCTGAAGCCACAAAGAGATTGCTTATGGACTGTGGGTTCGCCCAGCCATTTGAGCTACACGTGGAACACAGGCGGATAGATGAGACCGAGGAGGTGGTGGTTGGCAAGAGCGACAACTCACGGACAACACGAAGCAAAAAACGCAAGCTCCCCACAGATACCCGGGAACCACAGTTGAAGACAGAGACGAAGGTGGCTGGCGAGACGGACGGCCCAGGGACAAGAAGCAGGAAAAGACGAAAGGCAATCCACGAGCAACTCGGTAGTGACGATCCAAGCAGTGTCCTGGAACTGAGTCTCGGGACGGCGGTGGTCTCGGTCCAGGTCAGCTCGACAGTCGCTAGTAATTCCCAACCACAGCAGGCCAGGCGCATATCTCGCGGAACTGTAGCAGTGGGTTCCCGTGACGAGCGCCTAAAGGTTGAAGGGAAAGTGGCGGTTGTTCGTAAATTGAAGACACGGGGTGGTGAGACGGCGAGAAAGGCCAGAGGTCGACCGCGCTCAACCCGGATTGGTGGGTCCACTTGAGATGATATGGGAGATACGGCATGGACGCATGAGGTTAAGAGAGATGATTTGAGGCGAGCATTCTATTGAACGGTCCTATTGACCAGTCGTACCCACTCGATGGTGGATCTGGGCTATTTTGTATCAAAGTATATCGAGACAATACAATGCTTCTTCGCGTTATCATCCACTTACTCCGACAACATCATACTTTGCGACGACTACAGACTATCTCACAGCTTCTTGCGTCGTTCGCTGGGTGAGTGATTTCCATTATTCCTCTATTTCGCCTCAATATTACCCATCAGTAAGAGGTCCAAGGGAATGGTCTCATTCCACAGAGTAATCCCGCTATAACTTGCTACTTCGATGGCAAAACTAACACAGGGACTGAAATTCTGCCCCGGTATAATGAACGTAAACCCGGTATCTTTCCCTTCTATATCGTAGAAGCTAAACTGAATAGGGGGACAAACTTGAAACTCGACCATAGGAAATACGTATGAAAAGCTCCGAATATGTAGAGCGCTTTGGGATGAGCTAAAAGGTGTAATAATGCCACTTGTATCCTTAATCATCGTAGTGCCCGAGGTAAAGCCAGTTGTATTTGCTAGAAAAGCTTTATTATAGCAGTCCGGCAATGGAGAAACGGCGATACATGCTTGACCACAGATCGTAGTAATATTGCTACAGCCTGGATCCAGAAGCCGTTTAGGCAGAATAGTATTGCTTGCTTTGACAAGAACAAGAATACCACTAAGTAATAAGGCTTTCGAGACAAGATTTCTAAGTCAAATAAGCAAATTTCTTATATATAGATTAGGACTAGTTCAAGGGCTACTCTGATGCCTATATAGATTCTTCAGACTTATCAATACTACCCTTATCTGCCCACATTATTCCTATGATATACGCACCATTCATCTGATAGGGAGCCCGCATCTTGGGTTCGGCTTGTGACAGCACGCACTCTGGACTATGGAATCAAGACGTACATACTAATCTGTGAATAATAGACAAAGAACTAAGAGAGTGGAAGAGTGTTGAGGACAGATAAGCTGGATCCTCAAACACTAACTGAAACAATCACGTGACCCAA